GTGTCTGCTGTTGTCACTATCTATATTCAAAATCAAAGGAGTAAAACTACCTCCCCAAAATGTTTATTTAAGGAAGCTATATCTTCCTCTGCAAGATCCTGAATACGTCCCACTGTTTTCAGGAATGAATGACAACTTGTTTGTTAGGTGTAGTTGCCTACAAAGAATTTCCTGATATCAAGGAAATTTAGGGGATTTTCTTGTTATTAAATGTAAAAAAAGATTTGAGTCCTATTAAGGGTGTGATAGGGAAACTGCCTTTTCAAGTTAACTTTCACAAAAAAAACCTCACATTATATAACTATTTTCAGTTTAGCTTTCCTTCAAATAAATACAGGATCACAAGAAAAGGAAAAGTATATTTATTACTAATAAAAATGAGTTTAATAAAATGTTATTTATATTTTTCTTTATCCCAGATCTTACACCTTACCTTAAAATTTCTGTGTAATCTTTAGTTTGCATAAAAATGTTTTCCAGAATAAATACAAGTGAAACAACATCTTTTAAAGTTATCACTTTCTTAAGTAAACAAGTTAAATCTGGATATAATTTCTATTTTGGTGCTTCTCTCCTGACATGAGAACTTTGATCTTCCTTCAGTTATGCTGATAAAATAAATAATTTTAGTAGGACATCAGGAGATGGGAGGAAACAATAGGTTAGTAAAACTTAAGTATATCACTTTAAAGAGATTCCTTTAAAGCATTCACTGTGAATTAGTGAGCAATGTGAATGAAGCCTACTGCTCTCAAGTTTGATGGCACCCATCAATATAGGGAGGACAAATGAATTCCTAATTCAAATGACTAATTAATTGACTTCATAATAAAAACCAATGAATATGACTGAAACTTCTGACACCAGGAATTCCAGCAAGTTTTAGTTGGCAGTGAGAAGAATTAAATTCCCAAACATTTTCAATATTGGTATATAGTTACACACCCAAGAGAAGAATACCCCATTGTGTTTGCAGTAACATTAAAGAACAACCTCCTGAACATTAGTTATCAATTTTTCTCTGGCCATTCTCTATTCTTCCACTATAAAATTAATAACATTGGGTTTAGATAATGCTGTTTATTAACAACTACCAATGAAATCACTAATTGTTACTGAATGCTCCAGGTTTTAAAATTAGATTTTTACTGGCATTAAACTATTACCAGAATCCTTCAGTTGTAATGAGGCATTAATTATAGAAGACATTCTTATTCCTGAATTACTGAAGCTTAGAAGAAGTGAAAGGATTTCCTTATACAAAATTACTCTGCTTTGAACATTTTCTCTGAAGAACTAGAAGAAAATAACAAAATTTTGAAATATTAGAAACACTTTTTTTTTTTTTTTTTTTTTTTTTTTTGGTTAAATGCCTTTTTCCCTCTTTCGGAATGTAAGTTCCTTGAGAACACAGACTTATCTTTGTGTTACATACTCCTAATAGATTACATAGCACAGACAAGCCTTTTTAAAATAGGTTCTGAGAGAATTATTGGAAGTAATGCATTAACTTCACTCCTATGCATATGAAAGAGTACTAGTTTATGTATCACTCTTGGGAGAACTGAAAGTTCCTCAAATCATTTGCTTTTAATAGCTTAGATGAGAAACCATGGCTGAAAAAAGCTAGACAAAGTATGTATAATCACCAAAAAATTGTTAACATGTGAAAACATTATCACATAATGGATTGAAAGTCTTCTTTCCTAAATCATTTTTATTGCATATTTAACTACTTCAGTTTTAAACTCCTTGAAGACAACGATCAGTTCTTTCCAACTTTCATAACTCTTACAAGGTCTAGGACACTACGATATAGAGTTCAATTTAATTCACATTGTATTTTACCAGTGGATTAAACACACACACATGCATACACACATTACCTAAACCATATCTCCAACCTAATGAATCAGAATCTTGGGGGGGTTGGTCAAAGGAATCTTTCTAGCAAAATCTCTATAGGTAGAAAACTGGGTATCCAGAATTGAGTACCAGTGAATTTAAAATTAATTCCTCTTCCCATTGTTGGTTCCTCTAAATATAACCTAGCTGCCTCATGTCAATCCCATTATCTTCATTTAAAACTTGCCTTTCAAATGCTTACTTCTTTAAAAGAGCATTATTCCATCTCAAAAACAGGCCATCATCTGTCCTTTAGTTGGTTTATTTTTTTAATTCAATGTCCTTCAGAATCATTTTGCTGTTCCACAAATATCAGTTATCTGTCCAGTTTCATTCTCCCTTTCATTCTTAAAATGTAAGGTCTTCCAAATCTCACTTGGTCCTCTGTGTCTTCCTAAAAGTTTATAATTTCTTCTGCTCCTAATACACTAGCTTGGACTTAACCATCTTTCATATTACTTACATAGTTCCCCTGAGGTCTTTAGTGTCCTCTTAGACAAGAATATTAAAAGCTATGGAGTTTACTTCGAGGCGAATACCAAAGAATGGAAGGAAAAACAGACCCTTGCACATCAATGCTGATGGCAGTATTATTCATAATAGCCAAAAAGTGGAAACAACTTAAGTGTTGTCTATCAACAGAGAAATGAATAAATGAATTGTACTATTATACATAAATGGAATATTAGTCTTTAAAAGGATGGGAATTCTGATACATGCTTCTATATGGACGAAACTTGAAAATACTATGTTAAGTGAATTAGTCAAACACACAAGGACAAAAATTATATGATTCTACTTATATGGGGCAACTCCTAGAATATGCAAATTATGAGACAGCTACTAAAACAGAGGTTGCCTGGGAGGTGGGGCAAGAGGTTTGGGAAATTACTGTTTAATGGGTACAGAATTTCTGTTTTGCATGATGAAAAAGTTCTGGAAACAGATAGTGGTAATGGTTGTATGTACTAATGCCACTGAATCGTACACCTAGAAGAGTTAAAACAGTAAATTTTATGTCATGTGTATTTTGCCACAATAAAAAAATTAAAAGCTACTGAAATTATTTTCTTGACTTTCCTACACCAGCTTTTTTTTTTCATACTAATGTTACCCTTATTGTTAAAGGAAAAGGAAAAAAAATGTCCATACTCTTTTTCTGTATTCCCTAAATTTATCACTCTCTTTTTAGCTTTTTCCCTTTCCTTTCCCATTTCATTTTTCATAAAAGTAAAATAAAATTTAATATGGATACTCAGAATTTTCCACACTTCAAGCACAATGATGTTGTGGATACATACATACAAAGTACACTTCAAAACTACACACAAGGAACACCTCAAATCTATACACACACACACACACACACACACACCCCACTTTCAATCTCCTTAGACTCTTGAAATTGTTTGCAAAATTCTTCTCCACTTCTTGTTTGATCTTGTTTCTCATTTAAATATAAGTAAATAAGACATCAAGCTTCAAGCGAATAATTTTGTATTTCAAGTTCTTTTTAGATGTCAAGTACTTAGCAAATAATGGGAAAATGTCAATTTAAAGTTTTCCTACACACAAGAAAATATAGTCTAAAAGGAAGGAAAGATAAATACATCAAAAGGATATCTAAAGAACTGATATTACATAAATTATGGGGCAGCTGAGAAATGATATTCTCAAAGGAAAAATGGAGCAGGGTGGAAAGCTACTTTAATCTAACCATAAAGAAGTATAACTAAATTTATTATTTTTGGAGATGATACTTTAAATTTTAAGGAATTCTTCCAGTCTTATTAAAAATGATAAAATTAATAGGAATAACTCATCCTCATGAAGCCCTGGAACATGGAAAATAAATCAGGAAATAAATTTAATATATGGAAAATCACTGAAAGATCCTGTATACAAGAAAATAAAGTACATAATATATGATGTGAAAGGTCAACTGAAGAAAAGATGATACATTATTTGAAAAAAATCTATTGCTAAATAAAGGGAAGAATGTGGAGTTGTATAAAAAAGGAGAAAGGATGGGTGATAGTTGAAAAGTCAGTTTAGGAGTAAGCTGTACTGGACTGTTAAAAAAGTGAAGCATTTTTCTATTTCTAAGATATGTTTGGACAATATGTAGGCAACACTTTTCTTGGAAATAAAATCTGATCAGGGTTACAAGACAACAGAGGAATAACGCCAGTGATTTACCAGATGCACAAAAGTATAAAGGAGGCAATGTGAACTGATCAGCAAGTTGCAAGGCTGAGTACAGAGGAGACGAATGCAATGTCTCAGGTTAATTAATGGAGCAGCCATGTGCAGCAAATATTGGTAAAGGAGACAGTAGTCAAGCAAACTTAGTTAGCAGTCCAACTTAGTGGCATAAGACAAGTGGAGAGAGGTAGCAGAAGTGCTAAACAATATGAACCTACTTAAAATATTACAGGCATAGATTGGACAGGGCAAGATCAAGCAGGCAGATGGCATAGCACTTGGAAGGCCATGATACAGAATGGTAGGAGAGCAGATAAACAGTGCTGGGTAGTCTAAAGCTAAAGTAGCAGATGGATATGGCAGTATCAGGCCATTTGCTGATAGACAAAGTACCAGTAAGTGAAGAATGCAAATCATTCAGCAGATGCGTAAAGTGGGGCAAAAAGTAGAGGCAAAAATCAAAGGCAGTCAAAGCAGTAAGACAGAACAACAGAGAAGCAATGACAGACCATCAGAAGCAGTTGTGTAGGGTAGGAAAGAGCTGTTAGCACGGGAATAAAAACACCATTCAGGAAAAGAGGAAATCGAGAATAAAGCAGTCTCCTGAATTGGGTTTCTTCCATCTAGGAAACAGTCATCGATAAACTGCATATGAGAATCCACAAGAGAATAGCACACAAATGGAAATAGCGGATGAATCTGAACTCTATTGCCCAGGGATACAGAATGATCCTAGAACATAGATACATAACAATCCACAAGGAAATTAAATGGATGGGAAAAATGGGTCCAAGCATTCTTTATGATGATTAAAAAAAAAAAAAACAAAACCGAAACACTAAAAATTATTAATCTGGAAATGATTGGCTGGGATTGAAGTCTTCGCTTACCCCTTTCTGGAGCCCACAAAATGGGAATGTTGGGAATTTCTGCAGCAGAAAAACAGAAGAGAAAAGGGATTTCTGACTCCCAGTTTGAGGAAAGCAGGTCAAATTTAGGGCTGTATGAACTGGTTCAGGGAAATAAGAACCAGCCTGAACCTTCCCCATTCCTCAGAATCAATCAATTTTTGAGGTTTGGGAAAGGTTTAGGAAGCCCTCACCCCGTCATTTCCCACAACCTCCCCTTTCACACTTACCTCCAGTGCAAACGTTTCCAGCAAGGAGGTACTTGGGAAAACTCACTCCCATGTTTATACCATGGCAAAATTTGAGGATGGCCAACTAATAGTACTTCCTGTGTAGGTCAGGTTTCTGATTCAGTGGGATCCCTGCTATTTGTGAGTGAGCACAGGGGATAAGTTACTAGAAACTACCTACCTCTTTGAAAGTGGATGAGGAAAAAAAGCAAGGGCAGTAATACCAATAAATAAGTAGTAATACTAGTAAACCTTGGTGATCTCATTAATTGTCGTGGATTTTAATTCCATGAAGATGCTGATGACTTTTAAAAAAGTATCTCCAGCCTAGACTTCTCTTCTGAACTCCAAATGCATGTGTTTAATTGCCAATTTAACATCTCCATTTGGATATCTAAAAGCAGTTCATTTCTATGACCAAATTAAAACTGATGTTTCTCGTCAAACCTCCCCTTCCCACAGTCTTCTCCAGTAAATGACAACTCCATCTTTCCAATTGCCCAAGTCAAAATCCTGGGTCTTATACTTGACTTATCTCTTTCTCATATTTCACCTCTTACCTCTATCTTCAAAATATATAAATAGTATATTTCTCACTACCTTCACCTCTATCATTGGTCTAAGTCACTATTATTTTTCAACTGATTATTTCAATAGCTTCCTAAACTGTTTCCCTATTAAGATATAAGTCAAATCATGTAGTGCCTCTGTTCAAAACTCTCCATTATACTAAGGGTGGCATACAGGTTTTACATGATCCATGGCTCGTTCCATCTCCTTTATGTCTTTGCTCAAATGTCATCTTATCAATAAAGCCTTCCTTAATGGTCTTTTAAAAATTACAACTTTGCTTTCTGCCTACACTATCTATTCACTCTCCCTGGTTTATTTTTATCCACAGTACTTATCACCATCTCTAATACTATACATTTTACTTTTTTACTTAAAAATTTTTGTCATCCACTAGAATGTAAATTTCATAAAGGCAGGGACTTTTGACTTCTTTGTTTATTGCTATATCCACAGCATCTTGAACAATGCCTGGCATATATAGAGCAGGCACTCAAGATATATTTGAATCTATTAAGTGTTAATATCTTGTGGTGCATCACCTTTCTCTGTCTTAAATTCTCAGAGCATTCTTCTAAAAGCCCACATGTTATGAGCCTTTGATTAACAGAGGAGATACTAGTACACTATAAGGTAGGAATATTCTAAAATAGGGTTTGGCAAATCATAGCCAAGGGAACAATTCCTGCCTGCTGCCTGTTTTTTGCACCGCCTTCAATCTAAGAGTGATCTTTAAATTTGTAAGATTGGAAAAAAACCAAAATACAATAGTATGTTATAACATGTGGAAATTATATGAAATCCAATTTCAGTATCCATATATACATTTTTATTGGGGCACAGTGAGGCTCATTCATTTATATCATCTTATGGTGGCTTTCGTGCCACAGGGCTGGCAGAGTTGAATGCTAATGATAGAGAGTACAGAACCCACAAAGCCTGAAGTATTTATTGCCTGGACCTGTAAAGAATAAGTTTGCTGACTCCTGTCCAAAGATATTTTATACTTAGAAGGCAAAGAGTAATAACTAAAGTTTGAGTAATGCTAAACTAGAGTATTATTGTTAATACCATTGGGCTTCTGCCCAAGACACCTAGGAGGGAAGACACATTTATACTAGGATTTGCTTTTAGTATCTATAAAAGTAGCCTTCTCATTCCTCTAAATGTTATCTTATACTGGTGGTGATATTCATTAATCTATTGACCCTATAAAAGCAGCCTCATCTTAATGATAGGATATAGCATAGGTAAAGGTAAGTCTTAAAAATGGCAAAAGGAAAGGAATGAGAAAGTAAATAAGGCCCACAAACAGAGTTCATAGCAAACCAATACCCTATTTAACATATCCTGTTTAACAGGAGTGGGAAACTGGCATGATGTGAATCTCTTTTGAACTTCATCAATGGGGTTATACTAAACTGACCTCATTATAATGTGGTCTCCTAAACAACTATGGTCTTGAAGCACCACAAGCAAGAGACACATTATAATAAGACTATTATATTTATACAATATTCAAAACTAGCAGTTATTTTCTCATTGGTTCAAATGCCCATGTTTTATAGAAAAGTATTTTAAAAACTTGCAAAACCCTATTCAAAATCACCTCATAATCACCTGACTTATCTTTCTTACATAAAGTTTTACCTTAAGGATTAAGACATACAAGTATATCATATACAACAATCAAACTTATGGAAAGAGGTGGAGAAGGTAAGGGGGAAACACTTAAATCATATCAATGACACCCAGCACTACAATGCTATCTTTAATCTTCATAAAGAAATATGATTTATGTCCTCTTGTGTCAATTGGTCCTTGTAGAACAATCAACTCCTTTCCCACAGCTATACCATTGTATACTTTAAGTTCTATCCTACTGGATTTTTTTCCCTACAGAAAATTCTTTCAATATTTATTCAACCATTATCTACTCATTTTTAAGCTAAAGCTCTATTTATATTGTGGGTAATAATAGCAAATATTTATGTAGCAAGTATATACTTTTTTAGTTTTACTTATGTTAATTCACATAGTATAACTACCCTATGAGGTAGGTACTCTTACTCTTTCTATTTTACACATAATAAAACTGAGGTACAGCAAGTTAAGTAAGTTGTATAAGTCACTTGTAAAAGGAAGATCTAGGATTCAAATCCAAGTAATCTGTACTCTTAAAGACTGTGTTACGCTGCCTCACAAATAGTTTATATGGGCAATACTACTTCTCTAGTAAGAGTTCTAAATAGATGTGGAATTTAGCATAATAAGCGTATTTGTAATTATTTGTATGTTTACTGATAATGATCATCTTAAGGGCCCCTAAAAGGTCAGTACATATTCTGATGCAAAGTAGGCATACAATTAAGAAACATACTTAAGGGAATGAAGACAGTATTTTATATATGGGTTCTTCATATATGAAATTTTTGGTTTTGCCTTAAGCTCAAAATTTTAAAATTCTGACCTGAAGGAACAATGTAACTTTATTCTTACTATATGTAATAGGAGACTTTCAACATAATAGTTTTAAATTCAATGTAACTTATTGCCCTAATTACTTTATCTAAATTATTGAATTTTGTATCCTTCCCCTGCTACAATAATACCAAGGGGCCTTTCTTTTTAATGCATAAGTAAAACAGAGATTGAATATCATGGGAACACATTCTGTGTTTAATGGAAAAAAAATGCATGCAAAAAAATACAAAAGTAACTGGACATAAGGGGTAAATATAGTATTTATCTTCAAATATTAGGAGAACTATCATGTAAAAAAGAAATCTACATTCTTTCGTACAGTGCACAGAAAAATTAGAACCATGGGGTAGAAATGATAAGGTTTCAGTTTGATATGTCTGGACTTTCAAACAACAGAGTTGCAAAAGCAACAAACTTCCAGATGGAAGATGTAGCAATTGAGATGTTCAGACAAAGGTTGGGAATGATGAAAAAGGTATGCTAGGACTTTTAACATAATGGCCTTTGAATTCTCTTCAAACTCTGAGATACTGTGATTTCTCTATTTTTTTTACATAGTTTGTAATTTTATATAAAACACTAAGCTAATTTGAGACACATCACTGACAAAATCTATGATGAGAAAAATGTTTCCAAACAACAAATCAAAAAACTGGAACTTGATGCTTTACAGCAGTTTCAGTTTTATCTGCAAATAATGGTGTGGATATTCATTAGGTCTGTATATTAAATCAGGACTTAAAAACAAAACAAAACAAAACATATTCTTAAAAAATCTTCAAAAGGATGAAGTTAGCCCTACTGAAGAATATGCTGATGTGTATTTAAATAAATGACATCTCAAAAAGTATCTGGTTTTAAAGAAACTTGATGGCGTGATTTTACTGTGTGTACTGGTTTATAGTAGACTTAGACTTAAGAATTCTGTCTTCTAAGGAGTCTCGGAATTAGGACAGTTGCTGTTTGTTTTGTTTTGTTTTGTTTTTTAATCTCTACAGATGGTGCTACTCTAGATGTTCTAAGAAAGAGATTAAAATAAGAGGTCTAGTTTATCCATCTTTCTATGTAAAATGAATCCTCTGCTCTAGCCAGGATTCTAGCCAGGAAGATTTTCTTTATTTTATCTTTCTCTGTAGGCTGATCATACATTTCCCCTTCTTTCTTATTCCCAGTAGTATTGTCCTTCCTCTTCTCTCCCAATCTGAACCCTATCTCTCTTCTTCAATTTTAACTTTACTACTACCTGCCCCAATTTTTTGCTGATTACTTTTTAAGTACTGATTAATTGTAACTAAAATTAATTTTAGCTTTCTCTTAATCTTTCTCCTTAAAGAAATCTTTTGGCTGCACATTTCTGATATTGGGTTTATTCTGTCTTGATTTGTCAGGTGACTGTTTTAGGAGTACATGTACTTCATAGTACTCACTCAGTGAAGCCCAAGATGCTTGACATATACTTGTTAAACTGAATAAAAACTATAACTGATGTTTTTAGCAATCTGATAGCTCATAAATGTGCCTATACTCTAAGACATATGCTGTTTTTTAATGGATATACAAAATAATTACAAACCCCAGCTATAAAGTGGAATGTTATGGAAAAGCTACCCTGAATATCATATATCTCAGCTGATTCAAGCCATATTCCAAGAACTTTAAACTACAGAGGAATTAGAGACTTAAAATACATAGGTTCAGGTAAGATATCAAGCGTTACTTAATGTAACTGCACTAATA